CCAATACAACTTGTAATTCAAACATCAGTTTTGTAGCTTCTGGTTTAACATCTCAGTATGCATGGAGAACTCTTCTCCCAGGCTGGTTATCTTCGTACTTCATGGAACAGGCACTTCCTATTAAATGATGTGGAAAAAGTGCCCCCAAGAGATGTATGACCTATTTGAATCACCCTGAGAGAGAAAAAGATTTTCTGAAGTTAAATGTATTTTCAACTTGCACTAAACAGCATTAAGTATTTTTGCTTTCTTCATATAACCCGTGTACTCCGGTATACCTGCTAACGTTAAAAAAAGGGCTTCCTTTCAGATTGTAGGAGTGCTTGGCCTATCACTCGCCATTTCAGCTATTAAAAATATTCTAGCGTTCAGCAGTAATGGCAGGTGAACTTTTAAATCATTTGGTTCAAGCATTTCCACCAAAGAGCAAACCGCTCCCATCATGGCGTATAATCACGGCCATTCCAAGGAAGCCGTTGTAACCATGTGTTGCATTAAATATTTTCCTCATTTTTCTTAAACATTTCTCTCTTTTAATGCCAATTACAGCTAGAAGACAATTGAGAGAAATGCTGATACTAAGCCAGTCTTTTGTGCAAAAAAGATTTCACACTTGGTTTACTTTAGCTTAGTCGTGAATATGTCAGACCTTAACAGTAAATAAAAGAAATCCCTTTGGTTGTTTCTCCTGAAGTCATATAGCAATAACCTAAAAGGAACACTGCAGACTTAAAGGAATATATTTTATTTTAAAAGAACTAAATATTTCTTACCTTTAACAAAATTATGTGCAGCCTAAACCAAAAAAAGTCAAGAGAGGTATTTTTTTCTCCCCAGGCTTCTCTTATGACTAACTGTTGTGGTTTAACCTCAGCTGGCAACTGAGCACCACACAGCTGCTCGCTCGCTCCCCCCCTCGGTGGGATCGGGGAGAGAATCGGAAGGGTAAATTAAAAAAATATATATACAAAGCAAGTGATGCACAGTACATTTGCTCACCACCCGCCGACCGATGCCCAGCCAGTCCCCGAGCAGCGGCCCCCCCGGCCAGCTTTCCCCCAGTTTATGTACTGAGCATGACGTCCCATGGTGTGGAATGTCCCTTTGGCCAGTTGGGGTCAGCTGTCCTGGCTGTGCCCCCTCCCAGCTCCTTGTGCCCCTCCAGCCTGCTCAGTCGGTAGAGCACGGGAAGCTGAAAAGTCCTTGACTAGCGTAAGCACTGCTCAGCAACAACTAAAACATTGGTGTGTTATCAACATTGTTCTCACCCTAAATCCAAAACACAGCACTGTACCAGCTACTAGGAAGGAAATTAGCTCTATCCCAGCCGAAACCAGGACACTAACCTATGGTCTGAGGCTGTCAGGGTGGGAAGGCCCTATAAGCTTCCTCTAAGGGGACATCAAAAAGCATCTGCAAGAAGCAGGACTCCTGAATTCACTGAGTACCTCCAGAAAACTACCAGTAACTGGATAATTATGTAGCGGATAAGATGTAAGAAAAATCCCAGTATTTGAAATGGAAGACATCAATACTTGCAGGTGTCATGGTACCTAGACAGCACATCTCAGAAAGCAACCGTTTCTGTAAGTTCTAATCTTTTGTCCTTCTGGTCTTTTATAGGATAATTACTAGCAAAAGAAAGAAAAAAAAATTACTTGTGCCTTTTTTTATCATAAACAGAAAGCTTGAAAGAGAGAGGCTTATAAAAAAAGACAGTAAAATTGGTCTCGGTCTCTGTTCCTGGAGGACATCTGAAATGGCAGTGGGGAACCAAGACAGTGAAAAATGAGCAAATGAGAGAGGAGTTAACCTACTGAAAACTTTATTTACTTCTGCTGACACTATTTAGTGCCAACATTTAATATGCTTTTTGGATGAAAGTTTGTCTTTAAAAATTCACCACAGTAACCTCTTCATTATGGAGATACCATTTATGAGCAAAAGACTGCTCAGCTGTCCTCCCCTGAAGTTGGGAAATAACAGCCAGAGCATTTCTTAAAACGTGAAGTGAGACAAAAGGATACATGCCACTTCTCAAGCCTTTCTTATGTATCCTACAGATCCACAATGCTTTTCTTAATGTGAAAATAAGGTGCTAGGAGATACCAGGCAAAACAGAAACACTGACTGAAGGAAAGAGTAAAGAAGGGACGCTGCTCACATACAGCTTGAAATACTCTAATACCAAATGTGGTGAATAATATCTGGTTTTAAACTATATATATATATATAGCCATCACTCACATCACATAATAGCCCTGTGACTCTCCCCTCCCCACCGCTGTGCCCCACCCACAAACATGCACATCAACATCCAGTGTATTTTTAACAGCGGGGCTTTGGTATACAACTTCCTACAGGAAACGTTAACCTCGCGTACCCAAAGCAGCACACTGTACGTGACTGCTCGGTAACAGCAAAAATGAAGGAAGCCCTAATACTAGAAAAATGTAACTCCCTGCAAGAGATGACGCACATAACACCACGAAGTTGCCTTGCACTGTGCCCATAAAGCAAAGGGCCTCTCCAGCTCGCAGTTTCCCCTCAAAAGATTCTTTGCGGATTTGAGCGGAACGGGCTTTATTCATCATAAACTCAGCTTGTAAATTCTGCACCCCAGCAGGCAGAAAAGCCCGTCACAGAATCAAACTCTAACAGGTTGTGATAAAACAGAAATATCTGCAAGTGTCATCCCGCAGCAGCGGAGACTCCCTGTAAAGTCACATCCGCTTGAGGCGAAGACTCTCCCTTAGAAGTCAGCAGCACAGCCTGCGGCACTCCGGGGCGACACATTCAAGTAGAGAATCGAGCCATTTGAAGTCCAAACTTTTCTTTAGAGATGTCTGTTGGTCTTTATTAACCATCAGGGAGCCTGAATTACATGCAAAATTGAGATGGATCAAGGCGTGAGAGAGGTAAAAGGGAAAAAGAAAAGAAAAAAAAAGTGTTTCATTTTTCAGTTTGGGATGGTTGGAAGGGTTTTCTCATCTGTTGTCAAAGAAATGAATGGCAACTTTTCAGATACGCTAGAAAGCAGAGTCTTTGTCCTTTGCACTTCACTGGTCACCATCTGGTGTGCTCAATTGCATCATGCAGAAATCAGATTTTTTTTTTTTTTTTTTAAAGAGAAAACATATAATGACATTTCACTATTTGTTCCAGTAATTTTTGCATACTAAAACTTTGCTTTGGAGTCTTTAAATCATCATAGCTCCAGTCTATCACAGATTTAAAAATGGCTTCACTTATTTGTAACCGTCGTATCAGATCAGACCACTTGCCTGTCTTGTGTGGCACGCTGTCTCCTGCGCTGGTCAGATAACAGCTGCTTCAGAGGAAACTGCGCACGATGCTGCAATAGGTAGCTGGAGAAGAAGTTGCCCAGAAAGAAGTTCCTTCCCCAGACACCTGCTCTGTGTGCAATTGCTGTTAAACTGGGTTCTTCATCTCGGCAAGGGATTGTACCGCTCTTCAACTTCTCCTGCAAACTGACCCTGGGACCCAAACTGACAGTGATGGTGGGGAGCTGCCCCATGACGTTAAGCAGTTCCTTCCTCAGTGCTTGGAAACGTCTGTCCCTTAAAGCTCTGTGTAGTAAATATATCATACAAAAAGGGAATGATTTTTTTTTTTTTAAACGTTTAGCTCGAGATGCTAAATACAGAGGTCACAAGAGATCTCTTGCTTTAGAACGCTGATACTTGGAGGAAATAGTTGCAAGTATATGCCGTGACCAGAGACTTCCTGGTGGGTGGTGGGGAAGCAACATGAGTAAATGCTGAGGAAGACATGTCGATGCACAACATAGAACTGGTACTGTAAACCACATCTCTCATTCAGCAGAACATGCCAACTGCAGACTAGTTAGCAAGGAAACAGCATACCCACCATGATTTTCTTGACATGTAGATGAAACAAGTTCAGTAGAGTAGTGCAGTAGCCTGCATAATGACAATAGTTGGCCTACAAGCAGTGCCACAAAACTATGATTTTACCTGGTCAAGACCTCTTCACAGAAGGAACATTTTAAGCTTTACAGGCCTTTATTGGTTTGGGTCAATCACATTGTAATTGACTGTTCTGTTATCCGTAACATAAAGTCAGCTGGAAGTCAGAATGGTGCTGCACCTCCTCCTGCAGCGAAGTCAATTGAAAATGGCCTTGAGAGCCAGCTCGCTGCTCTGCCAGATCGGCACCGCAGATGTTCAGCCCTGAGAAACCAACTGAAGTTCTGATGTGATACTTCCTGTGCACGTCACAGTGCCGCTTGGTGCGGAGAGCGGTCTTGCATGCTCACAGTCCCTCGGGTATCCTAGCCAACTGGGACATCTCCCCTTACGGTAGCTCTAGCCCATTGCAGAGTCTCTTTTCCCAACTTTCTCCAAGATTCCAGCCCTTTTGTATTCCTTCCCATGTCTCCACAGCCTGCATCAGTTCAGGACACATCCTCGCCCCTCCCAGTCACTCTACTGCATCCTTCCAGTCGGTGTAATGATCTGGGAGAGACGTGCAGCTTTGCTTGACGTGCTGCTTCACAATGTACCAAGGACTGCGTTAAACACGTGTGGAGGAAATGGAGCAAAACAACTCTGAACCGTAACACAAAGCTTGTGGTCTCTAGCTAGGATGTTCAGACTAAGACCGATTACTGTAAGGGGAGACCTGGTGGGGAGGTTCATCATCACCTCTAACACAGCATCACTGACAACATCTAAGCTAGATCTCCAGATTTTCACTACAGCCAAAGGAGAGCTGGTGGTACATTTGCTGGAGCTTCAAGTACTGCTTATCTGACCAAATGTAGCCATTTCCTTTAGAACGAGGTGAATCACCCAGATACGCAGATGGCATCACATGGCTCTGTTGACCCAGAGAGGGAGCACTGGGCGATTCTCACACAGATAAGTTGATGTTATAGAAATCATACTTAACGCTGTCAATCTTACCACTTTCAAGTTTCCACCAGTGCCGGTTAAACCAGCTGGAGGTACACCAACGCTATTGGAGAGCACGTTCCATCCATAAAAGAACGGCAGCAGTATGGGTAAAGCAAACGCCACTACAAACCTTTCAGACTGCTGAGGCGCAATGCTTTATTCCACACAGAACCGGAGGGCGAAGTGCCACAGCTGAAATTACAATGGCACAGTGTCACTTACCATTTGTCACTCTAGGCTTGAGCTATAATAAGAGTGTCTTTGTACAGATACAACAGTGATTATGGCAAAATATTTGAGCTAACCACTGGAGAGGTCACTACGAGTCTAATCCGCAAAAAAATCTCTTCTTCACTGGGAAGCTTGGTTTTCACCGAGTCCTTTGCTTTCCAGCCACCCGGTTACTTTCCTTTCTTCCCTTTCTTTTTGGGGGAGCCAGGCCAGGGAAAGCCCCGGAACTCCAGGCAGGCAGGGGCGTTGTGGCAGATGTAGTAGGCGTTGAGCATGGCAGCTGGGCTGAGGATATCCACTTCCTTCACCACCTTCTTTGCTTTCTTTTTGGAGCTTTTGCCTTTGCCACGCTTGGGTTTGCTACTTTTAACTGCCTGCAGAGAAAAAACGACCACAAAAACACTCAGTTAGTCCTGTGACTTTATAGTCTCGCTTCTGGGTAGAGGATCCCAAGACATCCCGGAACAGCTGTTTCATTGCATCGCAGTCCTGGCTCGCAGCATTAGCTCAAGAGCCCCTCTCCACAGACTCCTGTACTTTGTGGTGATTTTATATACGGACTCACAAGCGTTAACACACTTTCACCAAATCTGTATTTGCTCTATAGGCTGTAAGAATCCTTAAAGTCATCAGGCAGGGCTAATTAGTGTTCTCCTGAGCTTCTCTCTGGCTAAAAAAGGTTTGTGCACAATGGAAATCATACATTCTTTTCAACTGATTTTTTTAATTAATGCATTACAACACAATCCTAAAGTAAACTAAGCCTATGTTGTGTGTTCATCCGCTACTGCGTGTCTACTTGTGACTCTGGATCATAAACCAGAAAGGCAGGTCTCCCTTCTACAGCTGTGGCCTTTTCAAGGCTCTGCGATACAGTTGTTCCTCTACCATTAGCTGTAACACAAATCTACGCAGCAGCTCTGCCATTCTGTATGTAAGGAGGTGTTGCCAAGACTCACTCAAGCCCTAAAGCGGGCCAAAAAATACTCCTGTTAACTCCAGCTGATCAGCACTGGTGCCTGAACACCCAGCCTCTTGCCTCCGAGAGGGATATGCCAGTCTGATTCACTCCCCGGATTGTTTTCCATCCTGGCCACTCCTCTCAACAAGCCTGGAGCATGCTTGCGTGGAAGATGCTGCCTCCAGGTATTGAGCAACAGAAACCGGGTCAGGGTCCCGGAGAGATCTCTCATTGCTGCTGTGTAGGCGGGAAAACGGTGATGGCAACAGGGAGCCAGAAGGTGGGCAGTGTCCCAGGAACGTCGAGGATGGAGCGATGGCTAGTCCCAGAAAAGGCTGAACAGGAGTATTTACACATCATGAGTAACTGAAAGTATTTGATCTCTGGTCCGAAGCCAAGAGCACTTTCAAATACACGCTGAGTCACTTTATGCATCTGCCCATCTATTTCTGTTATTTGCCTGGTTTTGCACACTATAATTAAACGGCTCTAAGCACTTCATTAGAAAGAATTAGCACAGATACAGCCAGAAAGGGCACATGTATCAGTTGGGCATAAACTAGGGGAAGGCAGTATACGTAGCATATTTTTCATGGTATCAATTATAAAGAGTCCCTTTACAGCTCAGTACTGTTAAGTGCAAAAGAGACAAACGTTTGTGCTCTGAGGTTTGAGAACACTGTCAGGGGCACAATCCTCATAGAATCATTAAGGTTGGAAAAGACCTCTAAGATCATCGAGTCCACAGAATCAGCCGAGACCACAATGTGAAGAAATATGCACAGGTAAAGAAAGAAAAAGTCAAGAGTTCCATCCAAAACACACAGAACCACCAGCCACAGCAGGAAAAAAAGACAGAAAAATACAGAGTGCAAGCTGCAGCTGATGGCAGACTGTTTCCTAAACCTTCAGTCATGCAGACTGCAAACTACTTGAACCCAGGCATATATTAGAGAAAGCAACAAGCCTTTTTTGGAGACCTTAATTGGATAGAATTTGTTGAATACTTCACGTGCTGGAATGTGCACACTTCAGAGTAGATGCTTATGTCAGATTTTTCAGCCAGTCACCTGAATCACACTCCCTGTTTACACACTCCCAGCAGGACCACTGGTGGATTTTGTGAGCACAATTAGGTTCCCAGTCAGAATTTGGCCTGTAGCTGATCTTTCAAAATAAAAAAAGGTGTTTACAGGTAAGAACAAACTGTTGTCTAAGTCTGCAGTGAGAACCAGGGAATGCCTTTTGTCTAGAGCTGCCTCACTGCTCCTGCTGTCCCTCTGCAGCGGATACCTCTGACCTCCAGGCTTTAAATGTTCTCAGTCATTGCCATCAACTGTCTTGTCTTCTGTTTCCTGTCTCTCATGAAACGTGGCATTGGTAAGCTGCGTCTGCAGTCACCTCACACATTCGAGCACAGCCTAGAGCAGGGGTTCCCAAAGCGTGGGAAGCTAACAAGCTACAGCATCGCAAATGCTGTCAGAAGTAACACCTTGTGTGTGTACACGCACATACGGCAGCGCCAAAGCCAATGCCTGGCGCACCAGCTGACGACCCCAGGATTTCTTACGGATTTATCAGGCAACCAAAGGACATGTGATGCTGAACAGAGCACAGTTCTTTTTCAGCGCGTAGAGGCAGGACTCGCAAAGATCAGACTTCCTACCCTGATCTCTTATGAGTTTTTAAACTACAGCCCAGCATGACATCTGAACACTCTTCAAAAGTACTGGGAAATCCATGTTTGTGCAGCATTTTCATTCACCCACAAGCAATGAGATTTGAGGCTTTATAGGATGTGTGCAAAATTTTACAGCCTGTAGCCAACAACAACAAGAAAAGCTAAAAATCGGAATCAGGTGCAGACTTGCACACAAAGTGAATTTGGGCAGGTCAGTTTATGTCCTGCAGCCTTGGGAAGGAACCTTTTGGATATTAACTCCATTTCCTTAAAAAGCGGTATCAATACACTTCAAAAGAATCAAACCTGTATTACCATGGCTATGTCCTTTTACTGAGCGGAGGGACTCCACATCAGGCCCTGAAGATGGACCCTGCAACACACAATCACGCAGTGGGTTACGTACTGCATGAGGCTTTAGTATCATTCCCCCCTAAACTTTAGAGTTAAAGGGGAAAAAGAAAAAAAATAAAGTTAGTCCCTTGCAAAAACAAGGTGTGTCACACCTTGTGTCAAGGTGTGTCACACCCAAAAGCATTTCTTTGCAGACAATCACCTGCGAAGTCATCCACTAACTCTGCCAGATTCCAGAACTCTGAGCTTTTCAGCAAAGCCCTTGAGATTTACTCTAACAGCACAAGGCTAGACAGGGGAAAAAGGAGAGCCTGAACCTCAACTCAGTGTCAGCGACCTGGAAAAGGCACTTGCCGAGCCCCGAGCTCACGGCAGCGCTGCCAGACTGCTCCAGGCCCACCTCACCCACCGACCCCATCCCTGCTTGCAGGACACCCCGTGTAGCACAGGCAGGACCTTACCTCCCTCTCTCCACAGCACGGGCTGAAGGAACGAAGCTGTGGAGAGCTTCCCCCGCACCCCCTGCGTGAAAAGACAACGAGTTCTCCACAGCCTTCCCCACTCCGGGTGAGAGGCGCCCGTCCCGCAGGGACACAGCACTCCAGAAATAAAAACACAACGCTTAAGCACAGCCCACCGGAGCCCCCGTTCTGCCTGCGGCGGGCCGCGAGCACGGTGTCCCGGTCCGTCCCGGTCCCGGTCCCGGTCCCGGTCCCGGTCCCGGTCCTCCCCCGGCCGCCGCCGCCGCCGAGCGCGGCCTCCCCTCGTTTACCTCCCGCGCCGCGTTGCCATGGCACCCACCCGCGCCCCGGTCTCCCCAGCCCACGCATGCGCAGTGGAAGGCGGGAAA